ATCCTCGCAGCTCAGAGACCACTGGAGAACTGGGAGGGTGTCTGTCTCTCAAAAGTCCTGGGTAGTGGGCCCAGATAGTGTATTCTTGGCCTTGTTTAGGTCACCTGCCCATCTTTGAGTGAAACGCCGTGGCCGTGAATGAATCACACCACCCGAGCTGCACTGACTGAGAATGAGGGAGCACCGGCTATCCAAAGGCAAACCCCCATATGCAAACAAGAAGGTGGCGAAGACAAGAAATACCCAGAACTGTTATGGACCCTCTCCCAAGAATACTATGATTGTTTATTTTTTTACTTTTAGAGAGAGGGGAAGGGAGGGAGAAAGAGAGGGAGAGCAACATCAATGTGTGGTTGCCTCTCACGTGCCCCCAGCTGAGGACCTGGCGTACAACCCAGGCATGTGCCCTGACTGGGAATCAAACCAGCAACCCTCTCGTTCGCAGGCTAGCACTCAATCCACTGATTTTTTAAAACTTAATCTTTATTGTATTTTTTACATTACCTTTGAGTCCCCTTATACCCCTCTCCCAGCAATCACACACTGTGGTCCGTGTCCATGAGTCTTTTCTCCTTCTAGCTCCATCCCTCAGTCCCCTGACCTTCTGTGCCTCTAGCTGTCACCTGCTCTTCACTATGAGCCTGTCCCTATCTTCCGTGTTAGTTCAGTTTGTTCATTACATTCCATATGAGTGAACCCATGGTATTTGTCTTTCTCTTTCAAAAAAATTTTTTTATTGTTGTTCAAGTTGAATTGTTTCCATTTTCCCCTAGATCACTACTCCCCACTCACCCCGCCCAATCCCACCTCCCACCATCAGTCCTACCCGCCTTTGGCTTTGTCTATGTGTTCAAGAACACTCTGATTTAATTCAGTAATACACACAGAGCATCCGCTATTAGGATGTTTGTGAATTCCGTGAAGCCTGTCCAAGGACCCGAACTTAGGAAGGGAAGAAACCTGAGCTTAGTCTCCTTTTCTAGTGTGTAGCCCTTTCCAGATACCACATTATTATTATTAACAGTTGCATTTCTAAAATAAAAGAACACATGCACTTAAGAAAATAAACTTTATTGCTGTGGTTGGTGGCTCAGTTGGTTGGAGCGGAGTCCTGCAAACTGAAAGGTGTGGGTTCAATTCCCGGCCAGGGTGCATGCCTAGGTTGTGGGTTTGGTCATTGGTCAGGGCCTGTACGAGAGGCAACTGATCCGTGTTTCTCTCTCACAACAGCATTTTTCTTTCCCTCTCTCTCCCTGTCCCTTCACCTCTCTCTACAATCAATAAGCCTGTCCTTGGGTGAGGATGGATAGATAGATAGATAGATAGATGACTTTATTTTAGAATTACAGAAAGATTGTGAAGATAGTACAGAGAGTTCTCACCCAACCCACACCTAGTTTTCCTGATTGTTAACATCTTACAGCAGTGTGGCATATTTGATACAATTGATGAGCCAGTATTAACACAATATTATCAACAGAAGTCCAAAGATTTTCTTAGTTTTTACTAAATGGCCTTTTTCTCTTCCAGAATCCTATCCAATACAGTTGTCATGTCTACTTAGCTTTCTCTTGGCTGCAACAGTTTTTTCAGATTTTCCTGATTTTTGATGACCTTGGCAGCTTGGAGAAGTATTTGTCAGATATTTTGTAGAATGTCCCTCAGTTTGGTTGTGTTTGATGTTTTCCTCATGCTTCCACTGGGATTATGCTTCTTGAAAAGAAGAGTCCAGAGGAAAAATACCACTTCTGTTATGCCCAATGTGCAAACGATCAACACGACATGTCTCTGTTGAGACTGACCTTGGTTGGTGGCCTGAGGTAGTGCTTGCCAGGTCTCTTCACTGTGAAGTTAGCCTTCGCTCCTCTCTCTCCGCACTGCATTTTTCGGAAGGAAGTCACTATGTTCAGACCACATCTAAGAAGGAGGGGTTATGCTTCACCTCTTTAAGAAGAAAGTTATCTCCATAAATTATGTGGAATTCTTCTGGACAGAAGATCTTTTTCCCTCTTCTCCCTCACTTGTTTACCGATTCAGTTATTTATGTATTTATATCAGTGTAGCTATTACATTTATACTTGGGGTTATAATTCAGTGCTACCTGGTTTATTTTATAGCTCAAATGGTTTCAGATTTGGTTGCTAGAAGTTGTCTCTTCTGTCCGTGTAACAACCCCGTCATTGAGTTTAGTTGTTTTGGTGTTTTGTTTTTGTTTTTTTTTTCCCCAAGCACTTCCATACTTTCTAGCACAAGAAATTATTCCAGACTTACTTAAGATATCCCCTGCCCAGTCCTAGCCTCCGCTATTTCTCCAAGGAGCCCTGGTTCTTTCTACTGGAGACTGGTATTTGGAAATAAAGGTCTGGGTGCCAGGTGTACTCAATATGTAGATTTTTAAAGCAAAATTATTTTTAAAAGTTTATAAGTACAAAAATAATTTTTTCATTTCTTTTCATAAAATTTAAACTCTTTTGAGTTTTTTCTTCTTTTTATTCTCTCCATGTTACTCACAATGTGCTTGTACTATATATTTTTTGATTGATCCATCTGAGACATTACCTATTGACCTCCTGTAAGGGTGAATAGGGTTTGCTGTTCTTGCATCCTCACCCCACTTCCTCTTTGCCTATGTTTCCAATGTAGGCATATCATGATTTTGTGTTAAACCAGTGGCCAGAGTTACATTACTATCACCACATAAACATCTTCCATACTGAGCAAAGGTACTATATTACATATTCTTTCTTGCACATTTTATCTTTCCTGATCATAATAATTGCCTCATTTTTTCCTTTCTTAATTGCCCAAGTGTCCATTAAATTTATCCCAAATGTTCCAACCTATCTGTCAAAAACCTATCAAATCTATTTTAAATATACTAAGTGTGTGAGAAAATCTATTAGTTACACTCACCACCACCACCCAAAACCACCTGTGCCTCTGTCCTTCTACTCCATCCTGGTTTGCTTGTTCTGGTAAGTAGTTTCCAAAGCTGCTTCCCCTTCAGAGATTCTTCCTGTGCCTGTTGAAATGCTCATTTTTGAGAAAGCCAATACTGTGTGAGAATCCACCTACTCTGAGACTGCCATGCTAGAAGGAAGCCCAAGATGCTGTGTAGACAACCAATGTGGAGAGAGGGGGGGGGGGGTCTGCCCAGCCCCCTAACTCTTCATCCTGTCAATTTGCTAGATATGTGAGTGAAAAGTCATCTTGGTTGTTTTCTTTGTATCTATTTCATGTTGAAGACTTTTCCCAACGGTCAGCTGATCTTTGGTTGCCTGTATTTAAAGCGACACACTAAAACCTAGTTAGGAATACCGCATGTATAACTGAGGATCATGCACTGGTGACTTTACTGAAGGGGGGTTAGATGCTATTGTTGGGAAACACCCAAATATCAGTATCTGTAACTGTTTTACCAGGACATTCAGTTCATCCAGAGATGAAATCCCCTAGTTTCTTGGGAATAGAATTTCCTAAGTCAGTGGGCTTTCTGTGGGAAGATTTCTCTGAATCCCTCTAGTATCATGTCTGCCCCATGTTTCCTGGCTTCTCCGAGTTCAGAGCCTCACCCAGTGTCTGTGTTTTCACCACTTCCTTCAGTGTGAGCGATGTTCAATGTTTGAGGCTCCTTTAGCTATTTACTATCAAATGAGAAAAAATTTTTAAAGAGTTTATTTATTTATTTTTAGAGAGAGGGGAAGGGAGGGAGAAAGACAAACATCAACGTGTGGTTGCCTCTCACATGCCCCCAGCTGGGGACCTGGCCCACAATCCAGGCAAATGCCCCGACTGGGAATCAGACGAGCTCCCTTTGGGTTTGCAGGTCAGCACTGAATCCACTGAGCCACACCAGCCAGGGTGACAATTTTTGTTGTTGTTGTTTTTTAAATGAGAACATCTGTGCATCCTCAAATTCCCTGTCTGGGGCCAGGCTGGAACTGGCCCCTGGTCTGGTTGGTCCTGTGACTGCATGACCCTGAGGGGTACAGGTCAAAGGAGAGTGCAGTGATTAAGACATAGGCTTTGCGATCGATCAGATAGTTTTGAGCCCCAGTCCTATTTCTACTACCTATTAGCCGTGAATACCATTTATATAACTCCCTTAACCCTCAGTTTCCACATCTGTTAAATGGGAAGAATAATATTATCTATTTCTTAGGACTGTGAGAATTAAATAATACATCTGCATCATTTAGCAGAGTGCCTGGCATATGATTAAGCATTCGATAACTAATGATGGTGGTATAAATCTCTTTAGAAAACACGTCTGGTTGGTGAGCATCGATCTGATTCCCCCACTAAGTGGTTCCGCGTTCCTGCACATGTCATCGACTCCACAGAGTCCATAATGGCTGCGCACATCATCTCGTTCAAGCCCGGCAATCTGGTTCATAAATCATCTTTTGTGCTCTTCTCCATCAAGAAGCTTCACGAACAAGTGGTACCCTTGGGCCCAGACCTTGGGCTTGTTTGTGATGACCATCATATGGTTCCTCTACTGAATCTCTCTTCCCCTTGCCCAGTAAACTCTCATGGTGTTTTTGGCTTATACGTGATGATCGATTGCAGCCCTGCTTTTCTTCCTTCATTATCAGAACAAGGCAGGGCCAAGGCGCTGGGTGAGGGAGAACCCAGAATGGGCACAGAGTCACATTCCAGCTTACCAACCACCAGTGGGGGAGAGCTCACTGAATTTTATTACCAGCAGCCGGGAGGACCACAGCTCATGGGCAGCTTACACGTGCACCCACACACAGGCACATGCACATATAGGAGACTCCCCAAATGCATGGACAAAGGGGTACACATATGCCCACACCATTGCACCCCCTTATTTGCATGCACACACACACACAGAGTGTCCAGGAGAAAAGTGCTCAGTACATTTCAACCATGCATCCCAGATTCGGCAAGGTCATTCAGGATCGGGGGAAAGGGAAGATTTTGAGACAAAAAAAGAGAAATGAAAACCAAATGGTCCCGCCCTGTCAGCATTATCTGGAGTATAAGAAATGCAGTTGGGGCAGACAGAGAGACGGACTCCTGGGGTCTACCAGCAGTCACCATGCCCAGAGGGCCTCTCATTCTCTGGCTGCTGACCTTGCTGTGGAGGCTTCATCTGAGTAAGTGCCTGACCCTGCCAGGCAGGGCCCCTGGGGGGCTCAGACACCTGTGCTGGAATTCCTTGGCTGATGGGGCCTCTGCCAGCAGAAGCCCACTTCATCCACGCATCTCCCCGGGGTTTCTTCTTTGGGGGGGGGTCTCTCTCCTTCCTGTTGCACAAGGTTTTATCTGGAGACCTGTTTGGGATTTTTCAGGTGGGGTAATCTGTGTTCATCTCAGAAACATCAATTTAAGAGAAACACAGAAAGAAGGGGACAGATGAAATGAGGGACAGATATGCCCTCTGCAGACCTTATCAGTGTCGTCAGAACCGGGGGGATTTGTGCTGGTTAAAGATCTCATTACAATTCTTATTTTTCTCTTTAGTGTCAGGAGTGTTTGCTTGCGTTTTTTGTTTTATTTTGCTGGGGATGAGGCTTCAAGTTGAGGTTTCGTTCTGCACGTCGTTTCCAGGTTCTGGACGGTGTGAATGCAGACACTGGGTACGGGCCTGTTTAGACCTCTGCATCCCAGTGATGGTGGGCAGAATGCTCTCTGCCGAGAGGTGTCGTCCTGTCTGGTCACTAACCATTGACGCCAGGAATGTGTCTGAACTGCTCTGGCCCTTCCATGTGTGAAACGGAGGATCCAGATAAGACCAGTTTAACAATCTGTGATTCGAGCACTAGACAGTCTCTCATGTCCCATGCAGTTTTAGGTTTGGTAGTTATTTGTGTGTGAATCTTTCAAGAGCGCTACATGACAGAACAGCTACTACATTCCAGGGAAAACCAAGGTGTTTCCTTTACCTCTCAAGCCGTTGCCAAGCTGCTCTTTCTGCCCTTCTCCCCTCCACCACTCAAGCATCCTCAGGGCCAAAGTCAGGCTTTTCCTCAGCACTCAGGGCTGATTTAGGTGTTTCCGCTGTGAGCGTCTGTCCTCTCGGGGCTGCCCCCATCAGAGAACTTGTCACCTTCTAGTAATTGCTCACTAAATTACTTCTCTCCCCAGATACTCAATAGCAGCTTCTTTCTCTTTCTTTCTTTCTTTCTTTCTTTCTTTCTTTCTTTCTTTCTTTCTTTCTTTCTTTCTTTCTTTCTTTCTTTCTTTCCTTCCTTCCTTCCTTCCTTCCTTCCTTCCTTCCTTCCTTCCTTCCTTCCTTCCTTCCTTCCTTCCTTCCTTCCTTCCTTCCTTCCTTCCTTTCCTTCCTTTCTTTCTTTCTTTCTTTCTTTCTTTCTTTCTTTCTTTCTTTCTTTCTTTCTTTCTTTCCTTTCTTTCTTTCTATCTTTCTTTTCTTTCTTTCTTTCTTTCTCTCTCTCTTTCTTCTTTCCCTCCCTCCCTCCCTCCCTCCCTCCCTCCCTCCCTCCCTTCCTTCCTTCCTTCCTTCATTCCTTCCTTCCTTCCTTCATTCCTTCCTAATTGAATTTATTGTGGTGACATTGGTTAATAAAATCATATAGGTTTCAGGTGTACAGTTCTATAGTACATCATCTGTATGTTATATTATGTATTCACCACCCAGGTCAAGTCTCCTTCCGTCACCATTCATCCCCCACTGTCTGCTTTCTTCATCAGTGTTTTCCACAGTCTCTGTCTGTGTTTCTGAGAACTTGAGGTGTGAAAGGTGCTGGAGTCCAAGTCCACATTGGCAGCTGCTGGCTGGACACTGGCTGGGCTTTGACGCAGCTAACGTAGCCCCTCCGACTCCATTTGAAGGAGGTGGCATGGTGAACCCTCTGTCCCTTTGGTTTTTCATTTGTGCCTTTTCTAAAATGACCCATTTAGAAGACAGTGATGGTTCAGAATCATCGAGCATCAATCAAAGTTGCATATGCTCTTCAAAGGTGCCGAATCGGACACTTCAGTCTGTAGATGGTGACCCTGAGACCTGGACTGGGGAAGGGCCTTTCTCAAGGTCACTGGCTGGAGCAGAAAGGAAGCTGGCATGAGAACCCAAGTTGCACCCACCATCCTGGGTCATTCCTGAAGGGGGAATTGATTTGATACCAACAATTCCTTTGCTCCAGGATACCTTTGTAACTGGATGGAACAGGTTTTTTTTTGTCCTGTTTGTAAATTCTTTTTTTTTTTTTAAGATTTTATTTATTTTTAGAGAGGGGAAGGGAGGGAAAAATAGAGGGAGAGAAACATCAATGTATGGTTGCCTCTTGGGGGCCCCTCACCCCTGGCCTGCAACCCAGGCATGTGCCCTGACTGGGAATCGAACTGGCAATCCCTTGGTTCATAGGCCTGCACTCAATCCACTGAGCTATACCAGGCAGGTTCTTTTTGTAAATTCTAATGTGCTTGGTTACTTTATTAATTCTGTGTAGCATTTGATCCTTCCTCTCCTGGGAACCTTGGAAACTCTTTCTGAGGGGGGTTGTTACCCATCACCTTTATTTTATAATGATAGTGTGGGTCAGTGTGGCCGGTCATGGGCTGTCAAAGAATTCACAGAGAGAAGAAAGTGTAGAGAGTAAAGGTTTTATTCACTGTCCAAGGAAGGAGAGGGGCATGGTGTGGAGAGGTACACCAGCATTGAGGGGTGGGGCTTTGATCTTTTATTGGATTATAATTGGATTAAAAAGGGTGGGAGGGGGGTTGCTGTTGGGTAGCTCTTGGGCTGTGGGGGCATTGTAACTCAAGGCTGTGGTTTGTTCCAGTGTTATCTCTGCCTGGGGCTGTGAGGAGTGGTTAGTTCTGTTCTTGCCCCCAGTAATTTGCAGTCCTGAGGACAAGCTCAGAGAGTAAAATGGCATCATGTTTAATAAGATGGTAGGCCTGCTTAGCAAATGGGTCCACAACAGCAAATGGGGTTGGCTCTGTCCTTTCAATGAGGTTAGGATTCTTGTGGCTTTCCTCCAAGAACACAAAAGCTGCAAATGGCAGTGAGGTTTACAGTGTCAGCCTCATGGGTGTTTTTCTGCCACACCAAATTGCCTGCTTCCCTTTTTTAAATACTAATCATTAATCAGATGAGCAATACAGAAAAATCCTTGGTGAAAAAATATAAAAGGGTCCCAAAGCTAAAATTGCTTTTGATGACCACTCCCAGGCCTTGTCCCTTTCCAGGGGTCATGGAGGGGACTGACGTGAGTTGGGTGTGTATCTCACCAGACACTTTTCCATGCATTTATTTAGCTTTATATCTGTACACATACACACATGCAGTGCAAACTCTTTTAGTTATGTATCAAATGGTTTTATATTTTATGTGTTGCATTACAATGTGCACTTTTTTCTTTTTATAATTTATTGATTTGAGAGAGAGAGACAGAAACATTGATTTGCTGTTCCACTCATTTATGCATTCACTGGTTGATTCTTGTATGTGCTCTGACCACAACCTCTGGGTATGAGGATGACCCTCTGACCAGCTGAGCTACCTGGCCAGGGCAAAATTTGTCCTTTTCTTACTTTCCTAAGACTTAGAGTTTTCATGCCAGTTGACATGGGTCTATCTAATTCCAATAATCTTCTATATGTGTCTCCATGGAGTGCATGTGCCACGGTTTGGCCATTCCCATGTACACATGTTCACTCCATTCATGTGTGCATGAGAGCCGCAGTAAATAGGCACGATTAGGTTTTTTGATACATGCATGTTTTTCTACAGAAAATAAAACATGAAATTGCCAAGGCTTAGATAGTACATGTGCATGTTGACGGTTAAGAGAAACTGTGAGACTGGCCCACCGTGTAGCTGTACCATGGTATTCTTACCCCATTTCATTGCAGGTGGCTCCCGTAGGCTGTCTCTTCCTAGGTCCCTACTGGCCAACATTCAATATTATCAGCATTCTAAATTTTTGCCAAATAGGTGAAATTTACTAGCCACTTATGTTGCCTCACCAGTGAATTGCCTATTAGATCCTTTTTCGGTTTTTCTATTGGGTTTTTAAAAATTTTCTTAAGAAATAGGATGCATCCTTTGATGCTTTAATACTTGGGAACATAAACTGATGACTCTCCAGCAGAAATAAGTCTTGCATATATTTTAAAATGAATCTCCCAAATATTATAAGCTAATGTTTTACACTGATAAGAACAGATACTACTACACTTGATCTTTAGCCAAAAGGCCAAGAAGCATTTGATACAAGCTTATGTTTTTGAAGTTTCCCTCTTTAGGTGCACATGTTCTGTCTTGCTAACACAGCCGAGGGTGATGGCAATGAATTTCCTATCTTTCTTCCCTGGTTTTATGGTGGATAAATGGATGTCCACAGCATCTGTGATTCATGAAACAATTTCACTGTGGCGAAGGGAAGAGACTGTGAGTTCAGGGAAGGCTCCGGGCTGGTCTCAATTTGGAGTGACCTTCATCGTGAGAGCCCACTGTGAAAAACCAAAAAGCACATCCTTTTGCTGTCTCTCTGGGCCCCTCTTATACTCACCTTCTAGAGAGGGATATCCGGATGTTCCTGACACCTGAGTCAGGGAGGAGCAGGGGACTGCAGGCCATGCCTTATACAACTTAGCCCAGTGGGCCAACAAAGCTAATGGATGGACAGTCTCACGGGGCAGGGGGTTCCTTGAGGAAAACGATGTGCAGGGACCTAGGCACCTAGGATGCTGCCCTGATGGTCTGGACCTTCAGCCTGCCTGGCTCTCACTTCAATAGTAATTTTTTCTTTTTTCAGAGGGAGGGGTTTAGCACAATCACTGATGCTCAGTTAGACCAATAAGCTTAACACTTGCAGAAGTAAAAATATTTCAGTCTCTCAGAAATGGATATAATCTTAGAAGAGCTTCTCCAGTGGTCCTCAAACACTGGGTGAGAGCAATGATGTCAGAGTGACCGGAAGAGATTGGTGTCCGTTTCCATAGGCTTTGGCCTCAGAGGTTCTGACTCAGGGTTGGTCAATAAAATATATACATGTTCAGCACACTCCCCAGGTCATGCTGATGAGTAGCCCAAGCTGAGAAGCTTGGATACTTTATTTTAGAAATACAGGGTGGGGCAAATGTAGGTTTACAGTTGCTAGTATGAAAATTTCTGTTTCCCATAGTGAATAGAGAGAACGATGAGATACGGTTCAACAGCCCATCTTTCTGCCTTAGCCCCGTCTGGGCAGGAAGACGGAGGGAGACCCCTTGGAGGCTCTCCAGTTGGTAGCACATAACCACTGCTTAGTGGGATATAGAGGGTAGGGTGCTGCTTTGGGGCCTGTTTCTATGAGTCAGTGGAACTGCGTTCAAGGGTCAGGACCTTTCAGTGGAGAGTGTATGTAATGGTACTCAAGGTCAGAGTTTTTTAATCAGCATCAAGGTCTTGCTGTGGAAATGAGTTTAAACACTCAGGTGAGGGTCATCTGTCTCCACTTGGGGGATGGAAGGAGGTGGAGTTGGGAGTTTGATAGGCAAAGGGCCTATCGAAATTAGACTAAAGAAACCCATACATTAGAACCCTTTTCATCTTCCTGGAAGCACCTGTTTGCATGATCTCTGTGTAGAATCCCTGAGATATTTTAGTGCCACATCACCTGGTTTTCTCATCCTCCCTCACAGCTCCAGCTGCAGCAGAGACTGTTGTGACAGCATTTCTGGGCCAGCCGGCCACTCTGCCCTGTTATCACCAGTCGTGGTCTGCCAACAGCAACAGCATGTGCTGGGGCAAAGGCCCGTGTCCCAACTCCAAATGCACCGATGAGCTCCTCTACACTGATGGGGCGCGGGTGCTCTCGAGGAAGTCAACAAAGTATGACATTCAGGGGTACATCAGGGGAGGCGATATCTCCTTGACCATCTTCAATACCAAGGAAAGTGACAGCGCTGTGTACTGCTGCCGCATAGAGGTGCCTGGCTGGTTTAACGACATCAAGAAGAACATTCGTCTGCAGGTACGGAAAGGTGAGCACATGAAAGGGCGCATGCTGGTGGAAGGAGAGACGTAGTGGTTAATGGGTAATAGACTAGGTGGCGGGCTGGGGGAGGCTTTAGCTCCTTAAGCAACCAGTGGACAGACTGAATCTGAGACGTGTTGCTACGACCAGAGGAGCCACAGTATGGAGCAAAGGCCCGAGGGGGGCGAGAAGGCGGCAGAAATGAGTGAGTAGAGGGTGGTGGGTGGGGAAGGAAATTGCAGGGTCCACGTGAAGAAGGCAGCTGCTTCTCATCAAGGAGACTGTCGTCTTGCAGGAACTGGGGCCCAGTGTTTCCAGACCTCTCAGTTTTTCTGTGAGCTGTGCTGATTTTTGCATGTTGGCAAAGATTTCAAAATTTAGAAAAGCATACGCTATGTATACTAAATGAAGTGTGTCCACAGGTCAGCTTCAGCCCGCAGACTGGTCCTTTGCATCTTCTGGCAGAGGACAAAGCGGGTGGGATGTTTTGACGCTGGTGGCCGTTTTCAGGTGTTTTGTTACCCTGTTACTGTCCATTGTGTTTGGTGAGATTTGGAGTATGGTGGGGCACCCCAAGACTGAGCGATGTCCCCTTACCTGGAAGTGTCAAACCTCAGTTGTTATGCTTCTTTTTCTAATGGAATTTATTGGGGTGACATTGGTTAATAAAATTATATAGGCTTCAGGTGTGCACTCCTATAATACATCATCTGTATATTGTGTTGTGTCCCACCTCAAATCAAGTCTCCTTCCACTGACATTTATCCCCCCTTCACCCTCTTCTGCCTCCGCCGCCCCCTTTCCCTCTGGTCATCACCACACTGCTATCTCTCGGCCAGGAGGTTTTTTTCCCTTTGCTTAATCCCTTCCGCTTTTTCTCCCAACCCCCTCACACCTTCCCCTCTGACAGCTGTCAGTCTGTTCTCTGTCTCTATGAGTCTGTTTCTATTTTGTTTGTTAGTTTATTCTAATGCACTTTAAAACTTTACAACCAATGTGGATGCCTCTACTGAGAGGACTTTCGTGCACATTGGCAAATTTTTCTTTCAAAACGACTTTGGGAAATAGAAGTCACTATTATTTTGATGTATTAAATGAAATGATGCCCATCCAAGTCTGCTCTTTTCAAGCCCGGTGTAACAAGTTATTATTTCATAAAATACTTGTTGACCTCCCTGCTCTGTGGGGTCACTTCTAAGTTCAATGGAAACTATGGGTATCTTTCTGGTCCATTAGCATTCATGGAAATTTGGCATGTTTCCTAGGGTGGTATCTGTAGGATAACTGTGTCTAATGAACCCAATTTCAAACGTTGAGGGGGTGAGGGGAACCGGCATGAACCAATCTTTAGTAACTGAAAAACACTACACCCTCATCCTGCATTGCATACTTTAGGCTCAGGGTTTATAGATTTTAACTTAATTAAATTTTACTGTGGAGAGAATGCCTAAGTGAGTTCCACCCTCTTAGCCAATTTTTCAAGTGTTCAGTGTATTATTGTCACCTAGAGACACAATGTCGTGCAGCAGGTCTCTGAGTTTATTCCTCTTGCTTGACTGAAATTCTATTTTATTTATTTATTTTCCTTTCTCTCAAATTTAATTTGCCATATGTCAGGTTTTATGGACAACCGGTGTTCGTTGTAACAGTTTACACTAACAGTCAATAACATTATCTGAAATGCCACCTGGCCGCATGGCGCGTTTGACGTCCCTGCCCACAGGAACAGGGAGGACCAGTGGATGTACAGTCACTTTTGGCTGGTTTCGGTTCTGCAAGTGTTCTGGACTGAAGTTTTATATCTGGGCTCACTTCCGATGCAGTCGTTGACTCACTCGTGGGTGTTTTTGGAGCACTTACTTTGCACAGGACACCAGGGCAGGTATTTGATTTGTACCAGAGAACAAAATAAATACAGGATTTTCCCTCATGGAGCTCACCTTGTAGTGGGAGAAGCAGACATTAAACAATACTCATCAAATAAATGTGTAGTTATGAAAGGCAGCACATGCTGTGAGGGTAAAGTATAGGCGACCAAAAAAAAAAAAACAACACCCCCGCAAAAAACTGTTATTACAGAATAAAGATGCCCCCCGTGCAGAACTGCCCCGTCAGCTGAGACACGGGGGTTAAGCAGGAGTGGGATTGAAGACCAGAAAGACTTGGAAGCAGCGGCACAGAGTTCCTCCAGACAGAAGGTCACTCACATGTTCAAAGAACCGAAGCAAGGCCCGCGGGCGGGGGAAAGGTGGACAGCACAGCAGAGACCTGAGGCCGGAAAGGAAGACAGGGTCAGATCGGTGGAACCTGTGGCCAAGCTTGGAGCCTTGGCTCTTTGTCTTGAGGGCAAGGAGGACCCGGTAAAAAGTTTTAATCAGGGACTGACATGATTAGATTTGTCGTTTTATAAAACATTACTCTAACCAATGTGTGAAGAGCAGATGGGAAAGGCCAGTTTTCTCGGGCATTGCAATGGTCCAGGACAGTGGACGGGGTGAAGGCAGTAGAAACAGAGAAATGGAAGGATCCCAGATACATTCGCATTGTTTCCCTTTTCCTCCACCTCTGCTCAGTACCACATACGTCTTCTGTTGGTTACAGCCCCAATGACCACCCGTCGTCCTACCACCCGTCGCCCGACTACCACCACTACTACCACCACCACCATCGCCATGACAACCACCACAGTCACGCCTCCAACAACAGTCCTAACTACATCTGACCTCCCAACCACACCACCGCTTCAGACAAGACCCACCACCGCCCTCACAGTGGCGACAACCACATGCCCCCTGGAAGCACCAAGCACCCTTCCTGAGGCAACCAAAAGTCTCCCGACCACTGAGCCTGCCACAGAAGAGCCCGTGTTCACTGCAGGTGCGTGGCACAGCTGGCCCTCCTGTCCCTTCTGCTGGTCAGATGTACAGCGGGTCCCTTGGAACAGGGTTCTTCTGCTGAAAGAACAGCCCAGAGCCCTGCTCCTGTGTGTTGGGGGGTGAGGGGGGTTATGTGTCAGTTTTCTGGGACTAGCCTAACAAAAACCACAGACTGGGTGGCTTAAATAACAGAAGTTTATTTTCTTACTATTCTGGAGGCTAGAAGTTTGAGACCAAGATGTCGGCATGGTTGATTTCTCCCGAGGTCGCTCTCCTTGGCTTATAGGTGGTCATCCTCTCACCCTGTCTTCACATGGTCTTTCCCCTCCTTTGTACCAAGACCCCAGTCATATTGCATTATATGACCTCACTTCATCTTAATTACCTTTTAAATGCTCTGTCTCCCAACAGTCATATTCTGCACTACTGGGGGTTAGGGCTTCAACACATAAATTTGGAGGGTGGGGCATAATTGAGCCCATAATGGCACGTGTGTGTATTCACTAAACTGTTTCTTCTCTTGGTTTTATCGTTTCCTGTTTTTGAAAAGCCAGATTTTTTTTTTGGAGGTCGGGAGGGGGGGGAATTCTCCAGTTGACCTCCCAGGAATCTTGCAGATGGTCACTGGAGAACCAGGCGATGTCAGACTCCAGTTCCATCCTGCCCGGGGTTAAGTCCCTGGCTGGGCCTTAGAGACTGGTTGAGGAAAAGCCTCTTCTAGAAGCCATAAGATATATATCTTTTGATGGTGAAATGGTTCTACTCTCTTTCTTTCTTCTTCTTTTGTTTCTCCTGAATCTCTCTTGATCCTGCATCTTGGACCTCTCACTGAGTTACTAATAGGGGCTTATCAATGCTCCCACCACGTTTCCACCTCTGATTATAAAGGGTAAGATTATAAGAAAACAGCCCGGTGAGGTTCTGGTTGGGTGGGCATCATCCTGCAAAGCTAAAGGTTTGATTCCCAGTCAGGCCACAGGCCAGGGTTGTGGGTTTGGTCCCCTGTCAGGGGGCATATGAGAGGCAACTGATTGATGTTTCTCTCCCTTTCTTTCTCCCTTCTTCCCCTCTCTCTAAAAATAAATAAATAAAATCTTTAAAAAAGATTACTAGAAAACAATCATGAGATAGTTGGAAGGCTTTCTTGAGCATTTCAGCTGCCTTAATAAGGCCTGGATCATTTAGATAGCTTTACAGTCTTCAACTGGCTGATTCTATTATGCTCTGAATAGTCACCTAAAGTCCATGAACCCTGAACCAATCCACCATCTTTCATATTTTTTACTTTATTGGCTTTTAAACTAATCATCTTAAATACCTTTGCATTTTTCCCCTAGATTCTAAAAATTACTTGCAATCCTTAAAGAAAACCTGAAATATATAGAAAAGCACGAAAACAACTCTAAAAAATAGGCCCAAGTCTCACCACTCAGCACACACACTTATTTTTTTAGGTGCCTTTCATCAAACTGTTTTCTCTTCCAGAATCAGAAACTTCCTTTCTCCCTAAGGCGACTTCTGGAGACACACCCAGAGGTATGTGGACACTTGCTCGCTCCTTCTTTCCTTACCTCTTAGACCGAGGGGAAGGAAACAGTGACCGCGGTGTCCTCGGAGCAGATGAGCAGAGAGGACTACTCGTGGACCCTGTGAGCCGTGAGGTCAGCCTGGGACAAACGGATGCCCAGGCAGCATTTGTGGCGCATTCGTTCCTGTGGATAAGGGATAAACGGGAGAGGGAGAGGGCAGCGGAGGGAAGGAGGGAGGGGCGTGTGTTGATCGACAGATTGATTTGGATTCATTCACGCAGCCCTTCAAGACAGCACAAGCGTAGAAATGGGCGTTTCCGCTCTGGGGTGAGTGGTGCCGAGCTGTCTGCTTCTGACCCCAAGCCCACCAGTCTTCTGGGTTGAAACGCCCAAGGGGTGCGCTCACGTGACTGGCTGCCTTTTTGTAGTGGAGGGAGAACTCTTTTATTCATTCATTGGTCCTTACATCCGCCAAGCCTTCTTTAGGTGTTTACTAGGGCCGGGGGCAGAGAACTCCCTAGAGAAGGGAACTGGCCTGACTCCCAGCTCCACTACTCTTTGCTGGGGGTCTCTGGCCTCGCTTTATTCCCAGGATTGTTGTGGAGCTGTGTAACGTCATGCACTTAAAGGACTTGTGTGAGTGCCTGGCACATAAGTAAAGCACTGAAACGGTGGCTGTTACCTTAACAGGACTTACATTCAGGCAGAGGCAAACAGACATGGAGGGATGGGAGGGGGCGGTAAATGAACCGATGCTTGTGATAGACCAGTACAGGGAGGCAGGGTGCTACTGGGTTCCTGTGCACACTGTCGTGCCACCCAGCCTGGGCTCAAAACCTGTCTCTCGCTTGCCGTGCCCCTTTGGGAAAGTTACTAACTCTCTCTGGGCCTTGGTTTCCTCACTGATAAAATGGGAATAATAACAGCTTTCCTATATATGTGTCCTTTTCCGAGGATTACATGAAAAATGCTTGTAGATCACTTAGAACAGTGTCTGGCATGTACTACATGCTCAGTGAACATTAGCTGTGTGTTTTTAATGACAGCAGTCAATTTTGGGACAGAGGGACAGCCAAAATAGAAAGGTAAGCATTTACCTAGGTTTGTTTTCTCTTTTCCTTTGTTGTTGTTGTTGTTGTTGTTGTCGTCCCAGAGACCAAAGGCTCGGTTCTCCAGTCAACATCCCAGGCGTTGACATCGAAAAGGAGAGACCCAGGGGTTTCTTCTCAGCCAAAGGGTAAGGGGCCGTGCACCTGCGAGCAGAGTTCTCTTTGGCCGTGGGAACTGTCTGGCGTCCGCCAGCTTGTCTTGGGATTGAGCTATTTTGTTTCACTGTGGTCACATCGTACATCCTCCTGCAATCTGGGGCGAAAGTGAAACACGCTAAAAGCATCAGTGCTGGTTTCTTCCCTTTTCCCCCTCATTTCTGAACCCCTTCCTCAGCCGCTTCTGGCTTGAAGCTAGGAATGCTAGTAGGAGAATCATCATCCATTCATTTTTCAAAATACTATGAACATATTATTTTTTTTTTTAATCCTCACCCAAGGATTTGAGAGAGGGAGAGAGGGGAGACAGAGAGAGAGAGAGAGAGAGAGAGAGAGAGAGAGAGAGAGAGAGGTGAGATTAACATTGATCAGTTCCCTCTGGTACACGCCCAGACTGGGGATCAAACCCACAACCTTTCAGTCTATGGGACAATGCTTCAACCAACTGAGCCACATCAGCCAGGGCCTACTAACTTATTTTAAATTTTACAAATATTACACTAACGCATTTTTGGGATACATAAAAAGTTAAAAACAAAGTTCTCTTTATCTCCCTCTCTTGAGTCCCATCCCCTCCTCTGAGGTCACCATGGCTGTCTTGAAGATGAACATTCTAGATCTCTTTCTAGTCCCTTATGTATATGTATAGAGATAGAAGCATACAGTTTGTTTTGTATGTGGGGTTTTTTAAAAATGCTATCATTCTGTGTGCAGCCTTCTGCATTTTGTTTCATTCACCTCACATTATACATATATCAGACTGCCTTCTGCCTCAGTCCCTGCAGGTCCGCATCGTCACACTAAACTGCTGTATAGCAGCAGCTCATACTGTGGATACTTATAGAACCCATTGTCCCATGAGGGCGTTTCAGTGGTTCCAAAGCTTCATCGTCGTGAGGAGTCTGCAGTGGACAACCTCGCATGTGTGTGTCCCCTTAAGCGTTTATGCAAGTGTCTCTCTGGCCAGGGTGGTGCCCAGCGAGGAGAAAGGCTGGGCTGAAAGACATGTGCAAGTTCAAATTGAATAGCTATTACAAAATTGTCCTCCGGAAAGGCTGCGCCGACCCGTTTTCCTGCCCACAGAGGATCTGCTTTTCCATATCCTCCCTACACTTGACATGACCATTTGTTTAATTCTTTTTGATCTTCCTGAGAAGAAAAGTGTCATCTTGTCCTTTTGCTGTTCTGGTTCGCACAGGGTCTGGGTGTCATTCTTTGAGTTTATTCGCCGGAAGACGGCCATCCTTTACCTCTGGGAAGGAGGCACTGTCATATCACTCACGAAGGCTCAGAAGATAGGCTTGGAGGGGACAGACGAGAGTGAGTGGCAGGGGCGCGGTTCTGAAGGGAGACTGTAAATCCAGGTGAAATGCAGGGGTGAGCGGGTACAGCGGAGAAGCTCTGGCCTGCACTGACTCATGCCGTGGGAAGACAGGATCAGGAAGACTTGATGTTTGTAATGTAAGGGAAACCGAGTCCCAGAGATTCAAACCTTCTTTGTCTGTGGTGCAGGGTTAGGGTCGGGGCTGTTTTCTGTCGGAGAGAAGGTGGCAACCAGAAAAACGATGAAGGGTGGGCAAGGGGTTTTCAAAACGTTGTCATTTATTCCATGTAAGTCTTGGGCTATTTTACATTGAATTGGGAATAAGACACCGTCTGTGGGTTTACCCTCTCCCGTGATGTTCCTGATCGTTTTCAGTTCATTCCTCCGCGTTAGGTTCCGGAAGAGAGGGAATGCTCGCCCCCACACGCAGATGCTGCACTGTGGAGGAGGAACTTGTTGTAAGAGGGTGTGTTCGTCTCTGTGTTAACCTCCACTTGCTATGGAACAAACCAGGGTTTGTTGAGCTCGTACCATGGGCTGGCCAAGCTCTCGCCACGGGCCACTTCCTCCAGTCCCTCTACAGCAGATACATTCCCTGTTTTACGGAACTCTCCCAGGGCCACGCAGCTCTCAGGCACCAGGCCCAGGAGGTCTGGCTCCGGCTCCGGGCTCTTAGATATTATTTCATCTTTTTTTAAAAAAATTATTTATTTTTAGAGAAAGGGGAAGGGAAGGAGAAAGAGAGGGAGAGAATCATCAATGTGTTGTTGCCTCTCACGTGCCCCCCACCAGGGACCTGGCCTGCAACCCAGGCAGGTGCCCTGACTGGGAATCGAACTAGCGACCCTTTGCTTTGCAGTCCAGCACTCAATCCACTGAGCCACACCAGCCAGGCCTCATCTTACCTTTTTTTCCCCAGCTGAAATGAAGGATCTTGTTCTTTCATTGACCATTGTTTCCTCCCACTGGTTTTGGTAACAAAACACTTATAATGATAATTACCATCAGCTAAGGACTTAGCTATGTGTTAGGTGCTGTGCTAAGGGTTTATAACATGCATTTTCTTACTTAAATCTCACAATGACTTTCTAGTCAGGCACAGATATTACCCCCCTTTTGCACATTAGAAAAAACAGCAGAACTTTAGAGAGTTTATTAGAGAAGTTTACACCTATTCAGTTCTTTCTTTGTTTTAACACCATTCATTTATGTGCGTAACCTCATTAGATTTTTCACAAAAGCCTACGAGATAAACACCATCATCACCTTCATTCAGGAGCTCATGAAGGTTATCACATGTCTGGGGAGTGACCGGCCTGGCCTTAGCCCATGTCTGCGCCACCCTGATGCCACTCTAACGCCATGCTGTGCTGCCTCCCCCCATGTCCCCTTGGAGGTTTTGACACCATAAGGTCACCTCTTCACTTCCATGAAAGTGCTTTCACCCCATATCAGAGGGCCTGCACGTCTCTGTGGAGTTTTCTTTCCCTGGCTAAACACCCTCAATTCCCTCCTCACTTCTCCATGTAATTTTTGGATGGTAAAGCTTCTTTCATGATTGAGGCCTGGTTTAAATCCTTAAGGAGGATCCTGTCAGATCTACTGTTCCCTAGAATGAGCATTACCCAGAAGGAAATCTCTCACCTCCACTCTTCGTGGAGTTCAGAGATGGGGTGGGGTCGGGGGAGAGTGATTTGCCCAAGATCACACAGCTAGAAACACCACCAACAATAATAACAATAAAAACCCTCATAGGTTCTTTCTGCAGCTGAAGGAAGCCTGTTACAGGAATACAAACTCTTACTCCTCCCCGTACCTGGGAATTTAAATCATTCCTTCTAGCCTGAGGAGTGATTCTCATTTGCTTGGCAGCAAGGGTACATGTGAAATGGTTCCAGATTGTTCCCTGAAGACTCCGCCGTCTCTGGGGGTTAGGGACTCTGAAGGCAGGGGGAAGAGAGCCACATGACTGTCATTTCCTCAGTAAAGTCAGGTGGCCTGGGATTAAGTCCTCTCCTGATTAGTCCTCAGGCTCCCTTTGACCAGCTCAGTAACAGCCCACATTCTTTCTTTCCAGTCCTTTCTTCCCACAGTCTCCCAGGTAGCCTAGGGCAAGGGCTGAAGGAGCTGCACCCCACGTGTGGGAGAGGCTCAGGTTACACCCCAGCTCTGCCATTTGGGGCTGGGGTTTCCCCCCTCCCTTTTTGAATTTCAGGTAAGTGGCGTGTTCTATCCTTTTCTAAATCTCAGTTTCCTCAACGTATGAAATTGAAATACTAGTGGTCCTTATTTCTCAGGGCTATTAAGGGAGGGAGTACATGAGGAAAATGCCCAGCCCACAATTACTGGCTAGTCAACGCTAGTCACTGGGATGGACTCCTGTGTCCTCTCTTACGTACTCGGCTGCTGGTCCTGCTCACACGCTCCCAATTTTAGTTCGGAGCGGCAAGGTAACGAGAGGCCACTTCCCAAAGCTCCCAGCTGACTCACCATTCCTTGTAAGCACATAGACACTTTTTGGTTTTATTCTGTTTGTTTTTTTTTAACTGCTGATTGCACCAGGGAAACAGCTGATGAGCGACAAAATTACAAACTTGGGGAAGTTACGAAAGCTTTAAAACTGTAAGGTCAAAATGCTCTACTTATGATTAGAACAAAGCCGAGATTCTGACAGTTTTTCCCAGACTCCTTTGGCCGCGGCTCCACAGAACTCTTCGTGATTGCTTTTGTTCTGTGGGTGGACATCTTCCGTCTCCCCCTGCCTCTTGCTGGCTCTGTCCTCGCGTCGCTCCGTCTCTGGAAGCCACACTCTATAATTTAGGCTTAGAAAGCAAGTTATGGCTGAAAAAGAGCTGTGGCCGAGTTTGCTGCACAAGGGCTTCCAGATTTGTGTTTCTTATTTTATAAGACACTTCCAAGTATATAGCTTCTACTTCCACCATCTGAAGAAGCCCCACCCAGGGGGGACAAATCTTCGCCTCTCTATAGCTGCCCAGAATAGAGCTCAGAGATGTGGGGTAATTTTCCTGAGATCATCGCACAGCTAGACAGAGTGAGGGTGGGGACTCACGCCTAGCTCTTACGGGCTTTAAGTTGTGTCCATGCACTCTGGGGGGCCGAAGGGTTGTTGGGTATGGAAAACTGGGAAACCGAGGGCAGAAAAGGGCACAAGTTAAGAGGCCTTCTGGTGAGTTGGGAAGGCAGCTGAGGCCAGAGGCCAGTGCTCTCGATGTCAGAGGTACAGGTGGCCCTCGTCTCAGGACCGGCAGCCCCCGTCTCTCCACAGAGCTTCCCCGAGGGCAGGTTTTCGTATTTGATCCTGAAGCATCAGGACTCACTGTTTCCCAGCCCCCAGATGGCTCATTATACCCATCGCCAGCATGAAGTCAAAGCTGCAGAACAATTTCAAATTGAATGCGCCCGAAGATGCGTGAGGGCTTGGCTGTCAGTCCAGTAAAATTGGAAAAAATAAACGTTGCTCTGGTAATAATAACATTTTCCTTTCCTTGAGCTTTTATAGTAACCTTTTCTTGGTCCCAGGGCTAGGATGGGGGAAAAGATGCTTTTAAGAACATTTGTTCTATTACTGTTGTTTTTTTCTGTGGGTTTGCTTTTGGTTATACAAAGCCAGCCCGTGTGTCATGGTCC